AATGTTGACTCCCTGGAGGCAGGGTCTTATTTAGTGATAAACCGAGTTGACCTGCCTCAGGTCTCCCACCCACGATAGCCCAGATTGACTCACAGTCGAGGGCCTGGATGGCTTACAATTGCAGACTTCGAGCTGGTCTGAATGTCGTCTTGGTACCTGCATACAAACAAGTGTGTGTGTCTCATTGGGGGCCTGGGCTGGGTCTAGATTGACTTTGACTGTTGGCCCTCAGGCACTTGACTGAAGTCAACTGTCAAGCGCACATACCCTGGGCCAACAAGGGGATCCCCCCCCCCCGCCCCCCTTGGCCTTTGCGGCCTCAGACCGGGGTCGCGGCCTGAGTGTGGCCTGAGGGGCCACTTCACGGCATATCAGGCGGGGTATTCCATTCCTACCGGCCCAGATTTAGAGTTCCATTGCAGAAATACATTATCTTTCTCTTAGCTCACGCTCATATGCAGCAACAGTATGAGGAGCAATAGGTAGTAGTTCTTTCTTACTAGATGTAGGTTGAGACTTTAACTTTACCTTGTACTGCTTTGCGGTCTTCCTCTGCCACCTGTAGAGAAGTAGCCATGATCCATAATCTTTTCAACTTCATAGCCTCCATTCATGGAGGGTGGAAGCATAGATGGCCTGTTAGGAAACTCATCTCCTTCTACATACGACAAGAGTTTAGACGCATGAAAGACAGGATAGGTTCGAAGGTGTGGGGGTACATCAACTCGGTAAGAAGGTCCATCTGCATCCCCAATCACCTTGAGACCTTCCCAGGGTTGATAATAGACAGGCAACAGTTTTTGAGACACATTCTCTTCTAAGGAAAACTCTTTAGACTTTACCGAGACTAGGTCCCCTTCTTGGAACTGAGAAGGCCAATGATGCTTGTTGGTCTGTTCAATCATCTGTAGCTGGGGAGTCTGTATATTTTCTTTAACTTTCTGTATGTCTTCCTTGTATAAAACTCCGAATTCCCGAGTGCTTGGGGGTAACCTCTGGATCTGGACCAGGGTTAGAGCATCAACGGGACGTCGAGGTTTCCAACCTTTGTGCAATGCATTCGGTGTTCTTCCTGTAATGGTATGTATACTATTCTTATATTCACTTGCAATTTTGGGTAAGTTTTCATCCCAATCTACCTGATCGGGTCGTGCATGCATGCGCCAAAGTTGTTCGCATAAGCTATTCATTTGCTCAGTTTGGCCATTCTTTTTAGGGTGTCTACTTGACGTCATGGTCAACCTAGTGCCATAGACTTCCATCAACTTTTGCCATTGAGTTCCAGTGAATCGGGCATCCCTATTGGAAACGATGGTCTTTGGAAAACCATATTCTAAGACCCATCGCATCTGAAATTTTTGGATGACTAGTTCAATCTTAGCTTCAACAGGCAAAGGATTGAACATAGCATATTTCGATAATCGATCTGCAATGACCATTACCTGACTGTTGCCGTTTCGACTCTTAGTAAGACTCATGAAGTCTATGGAGATAGACTCACCTCGCTCACTTGGTATAGGTAGCGGTTTCAATAGTCCCAGGGGATTCTCATGTGACGGCTTGTTTCACTGACAGACAAGACAATTCGCACATAGGACAGTACATCCTCTTTCATTCCTTTCCATCCAAAGTATTCCCTTACATCGGTGCACGTCTTCTTAAAACCAAAGTGTCCCTTAACATCATGACATTCCCCAATGATTAGAATTTTGATCTGTTCTTGGTGAGGAATACAGAATCTTTATTCGGTTTTCATTCGATACTCAGGGAATAGTTCAGGGTTTTTCTGTAGGGTCCCAATGATAGGACTCCAAATAGGACCGTTCAGATAACCCTTTCGTAATTGTTATTTAAGTTCATTCTCGATATCGAGATAAGAGACAATGGTACCAAAGAAATCTGCACGCCTGGACAAAGCATCCACAACAATATTAGACTTTTCTTTAATTGTTTTCAACACAAAGTCAAAGGTATAAATGAAAGCGGACCATCCTACTAACTTATCAGAGAGTCTCGGTTGAGTTTTTATCCACTTCAGAGTATAATGAATTGAATAGACAGTGAAGTGTCTCCCTAACAAGTAGTGTTTCCAGGTGTCTAGTGCAGCAACCAAGGCATACAATTCCCTTTCGTAGGTGGAGTTGGCCACTTTCTCTGACGGAAGTCTCCTAAACATAAACTCAATAGGTCTATATCCCTTACCGTCATCCTGCTGTAGCACAACCCCAATTCCACATTGAGTTGCGTCACTCGTGACAATGAAAGGGAGAAAATGATTCACAATCTTTGTCCCACAACCAAGACTTTTCCTTCTTCAATAATCTTCTCATAGGACCAGCTATTAAAGAGAAGTTCCCGACAAACTTTCTATAATAACTGACTAATCCTACAAAAGACCTCAACTCAGTTACTGTCTTGGGTTGCGGTCAATCTCAAACTGCTATTATCTTATTTTCTTCAGGCCTTAGTCCCTCTTTGTTCACTAT